AACTAAAAAAAATCTAACAAAATCTTAAAGTAATTGATTTAAAAGAAAAATAATTTTAAATTAAATTTAACTAACCAAATTTTAAAACAAACAAATAAAAGAAAATCAAATTTAATTTAATTTAATTTGAAAAAATCTAACAAAATGGATAATGGATTTTAAAAAATTAAATTTAACTAAAAAATATAACAAAACGTTAAAAGTAATTGATTTAAAAGAAAAAACAAATTTTAAATTAAATTTACCCAACCAAATTTTAAAACAAACAAATAAAAAAAATCAATTTAAATCATTATTATTAAACATTTAAATTTTAAATTAAATCTAATTTTTTAAAAATTATTTCATACTTTATATATATCTAAATTTCACATACGTATGTAACTAGATTGGATTAGAAATTATCAATAAAAAGTAACATTAAACTTTAATTTACTAATTCAAATAATTTTCATATATATACATGATTTTATTTCGACATTTTCATAAGTATATTATTTATATATTTAGATATAATGGTTAAAAAGTGATTAATATAGCTTAATTAAGCTACAATTAAAGTTTTATTTACTAATTTAAAAATTTTGCATCAATATCCACTATTTTCGTAATTTTTCTAGAAATATCTATCGACATCGACATGTTTGTAAAATCGAGACCTGGACATTTCCATCAACATCGTTGAACGTTGATGTCAACTAAACAGTTAATATTAAATATTTAAATTTAAGGTATTTTACATTGGTATCCACGAAATAAAACAAATGTAATCCCAAGGGGGCTTTTAAAAAAATAAAATTCAAAAATAGATTGAATATCGAAAAGCAAACTATACCTAAATAATAAAATTCAAATATCACAAGGGGATTGAATATCTTACATTCAGACAAAACAAATATAATAATTTAGATACCCACCTCATAAAAATCTGAAATTATTCCAAAACAAACAGCCCTAAATAATTAAATACAATCCAATAATGGAGACAATGGCGTTTGAAACTCTTTATTAAAAAAATATGGTCTTAGAAACTAAAATAAAAAGAAAAATGATATCCATTTAAAAATACTTTTTGAATTTTACTTTAGTTACACTATTTTTAGATTAGTAACAATTTAGTTTATAGACTTTAATATCTAACAATTTAATCAATATAGTTTGAAATGTGCAACGATTTATTCCATATTGTTATATACAGTAGTTGAAAAACTAAATTGTTATTAATTTAAAAATACAAATATTAAATCATTATAAACTAAAATACATGGTGAATTTCATTCCATTAAAGTACGTGAATAAAAAGTTTTTTTTTCTTTTTTTACCTTATTTAAAATTAGCACGAGGGAAATTGAAAAGAATGGGGAATTGGATAAAAAAAGATTTCTCCTTTTTTCTGACGCAATTAAATCGTGCCTGAAAAGCCCATCCAAAAGCCCAACATTATTAATTATTAATTAATTCTTTCTTTCTTTTTTTGCCCTTTCCGGACGATATAAAGCGTCAGGCATTTATTCAGTGCTGACGCCTTAGACTTTTCTACTTCAAAACGTTTCATTTTATTAATAATAATAATAATAATAATATTTTTTTTTAAATTAAAATACTAATTTAGTCGTTTTACTTTCACCTTTGGTCAATTTTTGTCCCAGTACTCTAAAAAAATATTGGCTATAGTCTCAGTAATTTCAACATTGGCTCATTTTAGTCATTCTACCTCGAAAATGTTCATTTTGATCTTTTTATTTTTAAAAGATTATCATTTTGGTCCATTCATTTTATTTTTATCACATTTTTTCTATTACAATTTCAACGCGACATTACAATCAATATATTTCTTAAAATATAAACATTACTTTATACTAAGGAGTTTCTGTTATGTGTAAAATTTGTATTAAAATTTTGAAGGGAGAATAAAATTATCACTTTTTAAAAGTACAAATATCACAATGAACAGTTTTAAACTACAGGGATTAAAAGTACAACGACTAAAATGAACAAAACTGAAAAATACAGAAACTAAAATAATCCAAAGTTGAAAGTAGGAGGACAAAATAATATTTTATTATTTGGTGTAAAAAAGGAATTCATATGGTGCAAAGATCAATGGAAAATAAAGTAGTTTGGAACATTTATTGAATTTGAACGAAATTGAAAATATAATATACTTAAATCTCATTAATTTAGATCCGAACGAAGGATCATTGTTCAATTCACTAGATTTGGACTAGATTTTGTTGATTTCGGTTATTGGTTTAGTCTCACTTTATTTACTAGATTTGGATTATTTTTTGTTGATTTGGATTGATTTAGTTTGATTTTAATTAACTTAATCACGGTTTTTTCAGTTTTATTAGTTATCATCCATCAATTCGATGTGCAATAAAATGATTTCGATGTCAATTATTTTTTACTTTCCATAACTCGATATTAATATGGGGTTGATAGTAGCCAAAAATTAATCAGGGTAACCCATTCATAAAAATTGTAGATTTCTTTTGAACATTATAAGTTTTGATAGTAGCCAAAAATTTTTAGCATAATTTTTGTAAGTTGAAGAATTCAACGTCCATGTTAGATTTTAGTTGGTATTGTTTGATATGCTGTAAAAACAATGACAGTAACAAAACAACCAACATGAAGATAAATTATAGAATACTAATTTACTAATTTAAAGGTCAATTTAGCTCATTTTTTCTTTTAAAAAAATCAGCTCATTTTAATTTAATCACTGTTGTTTGAGTGGAATTTTGTAAAGTGAGATTCGCGTGAGCTGACTAAATGAGTTAAATGGAGTGAGCTGAACAAAAAGATTTACACGAAAAAGAACAAACACTTTGATACTCAAGTCAGTCTAAAGTTTGAATATCAAGGTCGGTTTCAGACAAAATTGCATACCTGACGCTGATGCTCCGTTAGTTTGTTACTAAGGTTGTTGAACTGTTCTCATCTCTGTATGAAAAAACTGTCGATTCTTAGCTCAGACGAGATGAATTAAGGATCCTTTACTTGTGTGAGGTTCTAAATAGGTGGTACCGAGCTTTGTAGGTCGACACTATAAAGTCGCTCATGATTAGCTATTCTCGTGTGACTTTTTTTGTAATTCTTCCTCCCAACCCCTATACTATGTACTTAATTTTAGTTTGGTCTCAATGATTTAAAATGTTCCCTTTTGATTTTTATGATGTGATTAAAACTCAAAAATTGTAGAAACAAGCACGTGTTTTAAAACTCATACATTTTTCTCTCCTCTTTACTCCATTAAAAGATAGTACATTTTGTTTTCTTTAATTCTAAACTCCTCTAACATAATTTTTTTTTCTAGATAGAAAATAATATTTAATTTCATTATCGTAAATGAAAACATTGTTATAATATGGAACAAATTGCGACAATTTACATAGTTAAAATTATAGGCAATATTGAATCATGGAGACCAAATTAAAATTTTTAAAATCATAAAAACAAAATTGATAATTTAAACAAATATATTTCTTCAGTTTTCACTAAATTTTCTAAAACAATTTCATAACCTTGTTTTTGAAAATGAATTATAAACTTTAGTATTTTAAAAATAAAGTTTCAAACTATCTACATCCTTTCAAATAATGTCAGAAATACAATATTTATTAAAAAGAAAATGGAAAATCCCCTCGCCCCTCCCCTTTTTCCCTTGAAAAGCAAATTTATGAACGTTGTAAAATCGTGGAGCACGTGGAGGGCAGATCACGTGACACGTGATGTAAGCTTACTGTTATCCGACACGTGGTAAAATGAAGTTACATCGCAAATAATCAAATGGAAATTTACTTTTCTTTTCTTCAATCTCTGAAATTACTCTGACTTCATTTCTCGAGA